CCCAGTCACTGAAGAGTGCATGCCTCTTGAAATCCCCCCAGACATTCCTCTGAAGGGGTGTCAAGGGATATAATCTGCAGAGTACAGAGGAGGAGACCAGCCCGGGGGCAGTTTAGGGGTGCAGGCAAAACCCTACCCCAGTGTAAAGGCCAAATCAGGAAGACATGGTGGTGACAGCACTGCTCATGGGTACTGCATGGTCACTCTGTCCCAGGCATGGCCCGAGTGGCCACACCTTCACCCACACAGCCCTACAGGTGCGCCCTGCTACTCTCTCCCTCTTCTACAGGCAGGGGCCCACACCTCTAAACACTGTACTCCTCTGTTGTTTCAGATCTATACCCAGACCTTGGAGTCGGAGCTGGACTCCCAGCCTGAGACTCTTCCTCCCGAGGCCACGGTGCTTCCATGCTGCACAGTTTTGATTCCCCGCGTGAAAGAGGAAATAGATCATCTGCATAAAATGCACTTTTGCTTCCATCTAAACAATCACCTGTCAATATCCTCATCCCAGTCACACGCTTTCCTAATTGTTCTTCCAAGAGCCCCACGTCGTTACTTTGAAAGACACAACCACAAAATAAATTAAGCCAGAAATGTCAAAGCTTAACAGAGGACAAACGTATGACCCTCTGGAATTCCATTTTAATTTACACAGTCAAATTGTTTCTGATAGTTTATTCTTTCTCTTCTACAAGCCCATCTAACACTGAAACACCAATGTCATGAACCCAGCTTTTTATTCAATGTAACTTTTTATTTTATCTTATATTCTACATACAAAACCTATAGCATCCTAAGAAGCAATGAGTATGTCAGAAAGTGGTCTTGAATTTCATCCATCTATTGTACAATTTTATTATCATTATGTTTCTATTAGAAGACTTTGAATATTCTGGATAGCAAGTACAAAATAAACGTTAAGATATAATAATGGAGCTGGCCAACAAATAGGAAATAAGGGTAAAATGACCTTCACTCTTGGGGTGAGAATATGAAAAACACAGAAGTGAAATTTTAAGGGAGACAAGCTTTACAGCAGAATTGGAGAGAAGTTTAAAACTACGTTTGGAGAGAATGGAAAAAAGAAAGAAGCAAATTAACTGGATAGGAAGAAAAAGGGCACGACTTTTGTAGTTTTAAAGATCACTAAGTCTGATTCGTGGAGCACACAGTGGGGCATCATCGAGATGCTGACCGTATCCCCTCCGCAGAGCACTGCAGACCTAGCATTGTCCTGCCTTTACGAAGTTCTGCTGCTCATGGCTGGCCTGTCATACCTGGTCATGAACAGACATAAACTATTTATCGAAAGGTACAACTGCTGTGCTTAGAAACAAGGCATGGAAGAAAATAAAGTCACAGTATCTCAAATTTAGAGTTTCCTCTTATACAGAGAAGAAGTCAACACGCGTTGGCTAGGAAGGGATTTCAATTGTTAAAAAAGTCTGGTTTTTCCGTACTGAATTCCAATAAATGTTCTGGAACACAAGTCAAGAGGCCCATGAAATGAGAAGCACTTATAGTTGGCGAGGTCTTAGGACAGTCACCGGGGCAGCCAGTGTCCGCAGCTCTGACATTCTCTGAGCCCCTGTTCCCCTTGGTCTTTCTTCTGGCCTGCACCTTGTCACCTCACCTGTCCAGGGGCAGCAAGGCCAATCCTCCGCAAGGACCACAAGCACTAAGCACTCCCTCTCTGCACTGTTTTACCTGGATCTGGCCCGTAACCCTAGAGGGCAGGTTCCAACTCCATTTTCAGAGAGCAACTGAAACACAGTGAGGGTGGGTAGCTGGCTGGTAATAATACATTCTCAGGAGCAGGATTTCCATTCTGCGGGTTAATTTCAGCCATCGTGGGCCTCTAGCTTCTTCTCCTGAGGCAGAGGAAAATCACCTCCCCTCCATATGGGCAAAGATAGTGAGAGGAAAGCGGACATCTCTCAAGGAATCTGCTCCTGTCTTGCCCTGACTTAGTCTGATTATAATCCATGTGGGCCATTTCCATGGTCCCTGGGGCCAGCCTCCCACACCACGAGAGCACCTCCTTCCTGCAAAAGCCAGAACAGGGACAGGGTTTTTCTCCTATTTACAGGGCCTGGGAGGTGTGTACAGATGGGAACTGTATATGTCATCCACCACTGAAGTCATACACATCTTGAAAAACATGTAGTTAAAAAAAAAAAAAGTAAACACTATGTAAATGATAAGTAAAATAATACGCGAATAACATGTAAAAAATATAAGGAGCTGTAGATAGGGTAAAAGGAAAAGAGTGAGGGTTTCTTCTCCTGAAAGACAAAGTTTTCTCTATTTACGATCATCACACTGATAAATCACACATTCTAACACGTCGTAGGCATGAACACCCCCCCTTCCTTTCGTTCTGTGGCCTGGACATTTGGCACAAATCTCATTGCTGGGTTCCTTTGTTTCGATGGCACACTGTTCAAGGTGGTCTCCTAGGAAAGGGGTTTACCGCAGAAAACAGGAACCCCAAACTGCATGAAGCCCCAGAACTAGCACTCCAGGGTCCTAGCGACAGAAGAGATTTAAATGTTCAGGTCATGAGGTTTTCCATTTGCTAAACACTAAACATTACAGAAAGTACTCAGTGCAATACATCTCATTTCCAAAAACCCCTGAAAAACACTCTACTGTTTCTCCACCTTTGTAAATCATCAAGAACCCTGAATTTAAAATTCTGTTGCTGTTCCCTATTTTCTATGTACACCCATGAGGATACTTTAAACTTTTGAAGGAAGATTTATATTTTATATACAGTAGCTATGTTCTGGTTTGGGGCTAGAAGACATCCCTACTTTTTGATTAAGGTATCAGTGATGGAACGTTTTCCTCTGCTCTGTATGGGAGTGAAACGTCAGGGGTCTTGGTTCCTCTGGGGTTGTGGCTGACAGGTAGCTTCTTCTGAGTCTGAATTTTTTGACATCAAATCTTTCCAAAATGCCTTATATACCTCTGTGCCTTCTTCACCTGAACGTTCCTAAGGTCCTACTGACTTCTTGGTAGCTTGAGGGCCTTCCCGTGGACATCAGTTACTGCTACAATGTCACTTTCCCCTTCTTGCGGGGTAAGGGGATGCTCACAGTGAAGGCTCTTAGATTATCAAGAACTGATTTGGCTGTTCAGAATCTACCCCCCCCCCCCCCCCTTTTTTTTTTTTTTTTTTTTTTTGCTCATTTCCTGATTCTCAGCTGTTCACTTCCACTAGAAGCCTGGTCCTATCTGCTGTCCACTGGCACAGTGCCTTCCGGATATGAAGTAATCAAAACGTCTATTACTTAAACGGATGCGTGAATAATCAAGAGCCCTGGACGGCTGACCTAAGGGGTATGAAGTATGCCACAATGTCCTTAAATGTGCTGTTAAGTAACAGAGGAAAGGGCTTTAAGGTCTTTTAAGGAAGACCTCAAAATGGCTTGATGATCTCACCATCCAGTGAGCTGCGTTGTTGAATCATCTCCCCAGGGACCTCTGAAAGTAGGAATGAGAGCTCTTTCCCGACGCCCATTCCATGCTGAGTGTGGCTTTGCTAAAGTTAGAGGCATCCGCCCCCTCTCCAGGCCTTTGCAGCCTGTGGGCGGGAGACTCTCTAGCAAGCCTCGCAGTTTTCCACTCACAGGGCTCAAGTGCGGAGGGTATATTGGCCCCTCGCATCAGGACACTGACAGGCGAGGAGTCAGGGCTAATTTGCCAATTTCACCATATCCTTCAAAGTAGTCTTAGTATCAGCACATGTCAGCAGAGCAACAGAATGGACAGCTTTCTTCACTGGGGCTCCTCACCAGAACCACAGATCCCAGGAGAGTCTATGAGGGCAGATCTTCCCAGTTCTCCCCAGGAGGGCATGATGCTAGCCCTGGTCTAGGTACCAGGAGAGACGTTCACTCTCGAGGGACAATGTAACAAGTCCTTCACACAACACAGACTGGGAATTAGCAGCCCAGAAGTAGGCGCTACTTTGAAGATAATAATTATGTAGAACAGTAGCCATTGCTGGAATTCAAGTAGCCCAAAGAGTGGAATCACAGGCTTGTAAAGTTATAAAATGTTTTTATTTCAATTACATAATAACACTTATGCTTGCCTCAAATTTTATTGAGGTTTTGGTCTTTTTTGTACTCAATTATACCTTGTAACAGTGACATGAATTCTTTCATCTCATAAAGTGTCAACAGCATTCATAATGTACAGTCCTTTGTGATTTTAGTATTTTATAATTTTTTAATTTAACTTTACAATTATTTTTAAAAATGCCTCCTTGTATAGAAAATATATACGTCCTTCAGGAAGATCAAATCAAGAATTTTCCAATAATATATTGAGATACAACAAATGAAAATATTTATACCAAAATACTAAAAGTGATTCAACTATTTAAAATATCCCGTTATAGTTGAATCAGCAGTTTGCGCAAGAATGGTACCTTTCATATTTTTCTCTTGAATCAAAGACAAATAGAGAAGTAATTTAAAGGTTAAAAAAATAAATTTTAGAAATGCTCCCCTGCACAAAATCTGCATTGGGAAGTGCAATTTCAATGTATGTCTCTTCCAGAAACAAATTAAAAAAAAAAAAGACTGTATAAAATGACTTTGGTACATAATCAGCATGAAGTGAAGTTAAAATCCACAAAATAAATTCAGGTATTATCAATGAGATCAAAAGTATCAGTTTGAGATAAAATACTTAATATGAGGTAAAGGGAAGTAAGATATCCCAGTGCCTTAAGATATATTTATTTCTTATCCCTAACATGATTAATTACTGTCCTAAGGTGCAAATCTTATCACTCAGTGACCTATACACTATTTGGCCATTTATCTCCTTTTGAAACAAAATACCGTATGGGTTATAACGTACACATCAAAATCAAATACAAAAAGACATAGATTCAAATGAAGACATTAAAAATCAGCTGTACTCACAAATCTCAGAATGCCATTTGGTCATTTCAGTTGGATGCTGATGGATTTGGTCAAGAGTATCAGCCCAAGGCAAATGTTAGATAGCTTCATTTGGATTGTATGCAGAAACGCGCAGTGTGTACCATGGTCTGACACGGCAGGAATGCTCTCAGTTAGGACTCCTACTGATTACAGATGTATCTTTCTTTCTAATCGGGGTGATAACCTTAATGAGGAAGAATACAGCTACAAGTAACAGTCTGTAACTCAATGTGTTGGATAGCTTGGTGGTTGACTGTCCTATGGTGCATCTATCTCCATGTGGAACGTTTTAGGAACCTCACCCAGGGGGGCAGCAGACAAGCCCCTGACCACTGGGCTTCCTGTGCAATCTTGGCCTTTGCCCATTTACGACATGGTACAGTCTTCCTTGCTTCTGCCCTTCTCGCTTTCGCCTCTCAGCTCATCCTTGCCTTCTGAAGTGCAGGCACCCAGCTCCATGTTGGGTGCCAAGTCATCGTTTTCTGCAACCTTCTTGACTCTCTGACTGGGCCCCTCTGCCATCTCATGCTGCTCTGTACTTCCCGTTTGAGGGGCATCTTCACTGTCCTTGAAGGGACCCTCACCCTCCAGCAGGGTGTTGCTCATTGGTTCTGGAGGACCCCTGCCATCATCCTTAGTGCTGTCTTTGATCATGGCTTCCTCTAGCTCCTTATCTCTGGCGCTTGTGCCTGATGAAGGGGTTGTGTCATCCCCCAAAGCTGATGTGTCGCCATCAGCTGTCTCTTTCCCTTGCTTAGTGTTTACATCATTGTCTTCTTGGTTAAGTGTTTCATCCAACTCAATTTTAGGATTTTCTGGACAATCAGGGTTTTCACTGCTTCCTGCTACGCTTTCCTCTTCTGGACTTTCAGTCACCTCGTCTGGTGCTTCCATGACTGGTTTTCTGTCAGTAAGAGCTATGGGCTCATCTTTCTTCACCTCGCTTAAATCTGAGTCCTGAAATGTTAACTGTTTCTCAACCTCATTAAGGGTTTCTACAGGTGCTGTTGTTTTTTTCTTCTTATTTTTCTTCTTCTTGTTCTTTGTCTTCCTCTGTGATGAATCTAGTGCCTCTCCCTGTTGGTCATTCCTTTCTTCCTCAGTGTCTTTCCTATCTAGGGGCTCACTTTCCGCATCTGCCACAGCCAGACCTGTTGCTTCCTGAGGACTGCTTCCAGCCTCTGGACAATAAGGAACGTTCTGCAATTCTGTCTGTGTTGGTTCCTCGTCCCTCAACCCTCTTTCCCCATCCTCCTTTTTGTCATGCTCCCCATCTACTGCTGTGCTCTGACCTGGGAGCTCCTGGGGCTCAGTGGCTTCCTGCTCAGAGAACTCTTTGTCTAGATCCCGCCCAGTGCTTGCGTCCAGCTCCGTGGGGGCTTCTGTGGCACGCTGTTCATCAAAACTCATGTTGTCATGGCTGGATGTTGGAAGGCCAGAGGCTTCTGTGCTCACCTGCTCCCCAGGCCCCATTAGCCCTGCTTCCACCACACCCTCTGTGGGGCTCCTGTCTTGCTGCCCTGTGTGTGCGCTGCCCAGCCCTCCGGCTTCAGATGGTTGCAGGCAATTGGATTCTGCACACAGCTTTGTGCTACCCTCTCCCAAGTTGGCATTCAAGTCCTCCTGGTTTTCTGCAGATTCTTTGCTGTGGTTTTTGATATCCAAGGCATCGTAACTGTCCTGCCCAGTCCCAGGACCTGGGGTTTCGCCATCTAACACATGCAAACATTTGGACTGCTCAAGGGAAGCCCTAGTCCTATCGCCTGGTGTGTTTCTGACCTCATCAGACTCAACCTGCTCTGTATTTTCGAGGAGGGAAGCATTCTCTAGAATTTGGTTCTGAGCCTGCTCCTCATTCGTAGCATCTATTAATGCTCCCGGGGAGGGGGCACCATCTTCAGAGGCCTTCTGGTCCTCGGCATTTTCACCAGGGCGGAACACCTCTGTGTCCACACACTCCTGGGCTGGGTCCTCCTTGTGCCGCTCTCGCTCAGTATTCTGCAAGATTTCTTTTTTCCCCACATTCTCCACAATTTCACTTTGCACCTCCACTTCACTGGCTCTTCCTAAAAGACCATTGAGAAAATTGAAGGGACCCCATGATGTGGTGACCACTGAGCACACATCACAGCGTAAACACATGTTCTCTCACCCACCCGACCCCCTTCCTAAGGAGAGCGTGGCCTCAAAGGATCACACGAGACAGAAGCCTCTGCCAAGTCTGTGCGGCAAAGCACTCATCCCGTTAGTAAATGTTCCATCCGTGGAGGCCATGGCCACTGTCTCAAAGGTGGGAGTGGCAGCTGATGCCCTCTGGTGTGACCTGATTTTCAAAGGTGCAGTTAAATGTTAACCAATAGAGCTCTGCATCGGGCAGCCAACAATCCCAAGCAATGGGCTTCGGAATGACCTAAAGCTGTTTCCAGATGCACATCCAGACCCCTCCCACCTTTCTGCCTGTCAAACTGCACTGCGCTTCACATAGGCCTAAAACCACCTTCAAGGAAGTTTTGAAAGAAACATTCAACCCCCCCTTAGGAAACTCAGCCTCAACAGCTCATGTGAGGTGAAAAGAAATCCACCCTCAGCCCTGCCATCTAATTAAGCATGGTGTTCCTGAGAAAGCAGCCTGATGCCCTTGACATGCCTTAAACACCTCTGCCCCACCCCTGCAGGGGTGGAGGGTGGGGGGGGGGGGAAGGGGGGGGGGGGGAGGGGTAAGGGTGTAAGGGTAGCGGGGGAGGTCTGGCAGGTGGCGAGTGCTCAGGAGCATGGTGGCCACCTCATCAATAATAAGCTATTCACCAACTAAAAGAAGTACAAATTAAAAACGTTACGACTTTGGAATGAACGCTTGTATCTTAGATTCTCCAAACCAACCAACCCCCAGCATATCAGATGTCATGTCACTAAAAGTCGAAGCGGGATAAAATTATTACACTGTGGTCTCCGCATGTACCCCGGAGAAAGTGGGAGAAGTAGGAGGGCTCCTAGTTAGCTTTCCTCACCCTTTAAAGATCTGTCAGGGAGTATGTTTTATAACACACACTTCAGATTGATGAAATAGTATGTGTATGTACAAATTAAAAATATACCTATTGGGAAGTTCCCACGATTCTTTATTGATAGGGATATGCGATCAAAAAACATCTGGAGACCACTTAGGAAAGTGCTATTTCTGGTCCTTTAAGGGATGGTTTCCTAATAGTTCATGAAGATTTATAAAACGTATGTTTGAGGGGTGCCTGGGTGGCTCAGTGGGTTAAAGCCTCTGCCTTCAGCTCAGGTCATGATCCCAGGGTCCTGGGATCGAGCCCTGCATCGGGCTCTCTGCTCAGCGGGGAGCCTGCTTCCTCCTCTCTCTGTGCCTGTCTCTCTACCTACTTGTGATCTCTATCTGTCAAATGAATAAATAAAAAAATCTTTAAAAACAAAACAAAACAAAACAAAACAAAACAAAAAAACGTATGTTTGAACAAGAGCGACGTGATCAAATTCCTAGCTGCTCACACAGCTTATACATAGGAAACCACTCAATTTATCTTCCTTCAGCAACTTTCATGCGATCAAAAGTGTTGTGTCCCTTTAGGAGTCATCAAGATAATGAGGGACATCTCCCTAGGAAGCAAGTCCTGAGAAGCTGGGGCCTAGAGGTTTCTACATTTCCATAAATTAAAAAAAAAAAAATACGATGAAATCTTCTAAATGGAAATGAAAGACATGGGCTCTGGGTGGATTCCAGCCTCACTGTTGAGCGCAGGAACGTGGCGGGCAGCAAGGGACAGGCGAGCCTTACCCGCCAGCTATAACTTCGGCCTGCACCCTGGTTTCAGAAGGTTCATTTTACCCAAAAGCCAAACACTATGCCCAATATTAATCAGTGAATTTTTTCAGATATTTGCAAATTGTATAAAGTATTTTTACAATTACAGGATTCCCCAATTTCTACGCTTCAGAAGCAAAAACTGACGTACAAGGGGACAACACCTCTGACAGATGGGAAGGCACATTCAGACTCTGGTGGGTAGGACACCCCTCTTACCCTGCCCATGCTCCCCAGCCTGGGGCTGCCTGTCCACCTTGTCCCCTACCCAGGGCCACTGAGTGCTAGCTTGAGAATGGTACTCAAGATGTACTCCATCACAACCCCCCATGTGCCGTCCACAGGCACCTCGTACCCTCAAAATACGTAATGGTGTTGGGATGTGCAGAGTCGGCTTGTAACCAGGGCTAACTATCTCATTTTACAGCCTCTGCTACTCTGATCTGTGGAGAAGTCTGTAACGGAGCAAGTTAGGAAGCCATCTTGGCACGTGGCTGAGGAAAACCAACGAGCAGCGTCAGAACTGTCCCTGCATTCCCGAGATGACACTCCTTGCATTTGCGGTTTCACTTGGTGGCTTTGAGAAGCAAGAGAAATGTATTCTTCAGCCATTGGTGGTGAGCACTGCACAGAGAGGCACGCCAGACAACATACGTGGGTGGTCACACCGTGTGGCAAGGGCGTTCCCAGGAAGTGGCAGGACACATGGCATGCTGTGTGTTAATTGATCAGTGATGATTATGTCAATTCTGACAATGCATGGAGGGTGAATTGATGCGGACTGGAGGATGAAAAGACCTAAAGGAAGGTGGGCACTTACCTAGCGTCCCGTCCCCCGCCGTCTTGAGGGCGTTTAATTCTTCTTTCGTTAGCTTGGAAGGAACTTGGTGTCCGACGTTATTTAGAGTGTCTGAAGTCTCTCCGTTGGTGGCTGGCTCTGAATTTAGGACTATTCCATGTTTCTGGGAACAAAAATGAACTTGTTGTAATACTCACGGACTCATACTAGGTTAAACTTTATTTTATTAATAATAATGAGAAAGAAATTATTTTTCTTGAAGTCAAGGAAACAGAATCAGAAGGGGTAGGCACCACAATCATAAATATCCTATCGACACACACAAAGCTGGGTTGTCTTCCTCCAAGGGCGACTTCTTTCCTTCATGCTCTGGTCCATGTCTTGATGCTCTGGTCCATGTCTTAATGCGCTGGTGACAAGATGCTGTTACCAGGCATCCTTTGTAACTGGAGGTAGGGACCTACAGGCTGCCACATGGTAGAGCAGTGGGCAAATCCCTATAAAGTGACCTCCTTTTAACACCCTGGTTGCATTCTTGAAAAAGAGAGAGATAAAGAGATATGTGCATGTTCCGAAAGGAATAAACACAACTTATGTTAAAGACGGAATAAAGAATTGGCTAGAATGTTTGGTGTCTTTGAGGGAAATATAATTCATGCTTACGACACTGTGAAACACTCTAAAAACAGTTATACTCACTTGCTACCCCCATGCCCATGGCTCTCTCCTTGAGCTCAGAGGGGGCCCCAGTTCCAGGCTCACAGCCCAGTGAGAAGCAGTGATAGGAACCTGTTCCCTCCATTTGACTGCTCTGGCCTTGACCCCTGACCATAAGCAGCTGACACTAATATGTCTCCACTGATGATCTTAGAATTTGCTATGGCTATACCCTCTTCTTGACACTGTATCCTATGATGTTGATAACCCACCCAGAGCCTGTTTTCCTTCACTCAGTGTCTAGCCAGCAGCTGAAGACCCCCAGACATGGCACAAACAAGACATGGAATTTTCCTCAGCCCACAGGGTCTCAAAGTCTAATTAGTGTGAGCCTCACCCATGCCACCAACCAGCTGGAGAAGTCCTTAAATTTGAACTTTTAATATAAAGAAACACACACATTCTCTAATTTGGTGTGATATCCTGGAGAATTTATTAAAGGGTATGAGAAAAAAATGTATGCGGTATAAAAGAATTCTTGGAGGTCAGAGGTGCTTTTGAGATCACATATGCTTGTCAACATCTAAAGGAACAGGCAGACCCGAATGAACCCACATACATTTTACGGGTCTCTTCAGTGTCAGTTAACCGAAGATTTGAATTGATTAACCAGAACTCAAATCAATGACACACAATTAATTAACACCAGTATATACGTAGAGTCATTCTTGAGAACCTGGATTTTTTTTTTTTTTTAACTCTACTTTGGCTTCATACCTTTAACTCCTCTTTCAGCATGACTACTTCTTCTCTAAGATCATCTCGGTCACTCCTTATGGAATCAAAGAACTCTTTCTGCCTCTCTAAAGCCTGAGTGTGAGCAGAGCGGAGAAAGAGAGAGAAGATTCACATGGGTGAGCAGGTGACTAAAGCAAGAACAAGGATTCCACTACATGGAAAACCACCAGAGTTAAAGCATTGTGTAGAATACGTTCAGGAGACAGACAAAATGCAAGTACTGAGCTTCTCACAAATTTATGGCAGCCAAGGAACGTTGCCTCCTGCTCCCTTAAAGGCATTAAGAGATGCCTTTAAGGGAGCACTGCCTTTGCACTGCCTGTGCACAGCTTTCTAGCTCGGTGAGAGAATGAACACAAGCCATGTACCCACTTGGATGAGAGACAAACGAGGAATAAGAAGAAATGCATAAGAAACCCCAGGTGACGACTTGGGCTATCTTTCTACATCAATTCTTGGTGTTTGTTGTCACAAACGTCAAGTGGTCTTAAAGTGCACACACGTGTGCACGCTCAGCAGTCCTAAACGAGCATGGGTGAGGACATAGGGGGAAAACCAGAACGGCCTCACGTGGCCTGTGCACTGACACTGTGCTCCAGAGATCTGCATCAGAATGGAGAAGGGCGGGCTGCGGGGTTTTGAAAGTCCTTTGTCATCAGGAAGCATGGCTGGCACTCTAAGTGGGCTGCTGTCTTCCTACTTATCACTCCTAAAGGCAGGTGGGCTGCAGTGGCTTTTCTTTTTGAAGAAGAGGGAACTGGGGCCTCCAGGGGGATACATCCAGGAGGGAACAGGTGGGGATAGCACCTGCCACCTTGCAGCTTCCTGTGATGCCTTTAAGAAAGGCACAGGCCCCACCACACAGAGAATCCGAGGGGCCTGAGCTTCCCCATGTCCCACCTGCCCCGTGGTGCCTTCCCCGCTCCTTGCATCTTGGGGTACTGCTGGCCTGCTTGGCACAGGCAGAAAGCCCAGTTAGCCTCAACAAGACGCCTGCCCACCCCATGTCGGACGCCCACTTCAAGGTCAGAGTTACTGTGGGCTTGAGTAAGCGAGTGCATTCTCTGTGTCACTAGTCCTGTGTCACACGAGGGCACATGCACGCTCACACACGCATTTCTGCACCTGCACGCGGACTGCCCCTTGGCACAGTCCCACAGACTTGGGAGGCCTACCCCTATCTTCTTGTCTTTCCACTCTATTGTTTCCTGAAGATCAGAAATCTCCCTGATATAACTCGCCTGCTTCTGCTGTAGCTGTCGGATTTCCTGAGGAATAGGAACAGATAGAAAGAAAGCAGAGAAGGGGTTAAGCAGGAAGACTGAAGCGCAGGGCTTGATAATCCAAGAGCTGTGACTGCTCATGAGCCCACAGACCCATGCCAAGGACGTACCAGCCCCATTTCCTACATCAGCCCATATCCCTCTCTGCACGCCAGAACTGCTTCCTCAGCTTGGTCCCCAGTGGCCAGAGGAGTGGGCAGAGACCCTGCCTGGGGGACATCCTTACTTACAGGCACTAACTAGTTCAAGTTAACGAGTGAAAAAGTCAGAACCAATCTTGTATCACTTTCCTATTGCTAAGGTCACAAAGTACCATTAATTCAGCAGCTTAAAGAAAACATGAATTCATTCTCTTAGAGTTCTGGAACTCCGAAGCCCAAACTGAGTCTGATGCACCAGAATAAAGATGCAGGGAGGTCTGGGTTCTCTTCTGGGGGCTCTAGGGCAGAACCCACCACATTCCTTGGTTCATGACCCCTTCCTCACATGGGACCAGCCTTGAGTCCCTCTCCCCGTATCTCTTGCTGCCTCTCTTGCCTCCTTGCATAAGGATCCGGTGATGAGAGTGGGCCCCCAATAACCTAGGGTCACTTCCCCATCACAAGGTCATTAACTCCACCATGCCTGCAACATCCCTTCTGGCATGTGAGGTGCCCCAGCCACAGGTCCTGGGGATCGGGACGTGGACATCTCAGGGGCCATCATTCCATCCTCCACGCCTCCCGATACAAACACAAAGCCCCCAAGGAATGAAACTCTTCACCAATGAAAGGAACTATTTTCCTTAAGTAAGGCATGGAGCATTTGCCTAAACTCTCCATTTTCAAGAACATGGCTAAGTTTCATAACGAACCCCCAAATACTCCTAAGACGCAGGAGGAAAAGCGAACGAGGGAGCGCTACCCACCTCCAGCAATTCTTCCCGCTGCTTCAAGGCCTCCTTCACTTCGGCAAACTGGAACTGCAGGATGCTGTGGGCGTGCTTCTCCCTCTCAAACTCCTACATGGGCGGGAAAGAGCATGGACACAGTGACCACACTGCACTCTCTGCCTTTCAAGTTCACGTTCCCATGACTTACACTGACCTTGGAACAACCACCTATCACCAGTCATCACAATTTTCAAGGCCTCTTTAGCAACACAAGCCCGCTTCTCTGGACTTTCTGATTTCCTGTAAACTTTGCCTGCTGACCTGGTGCATCAGACAGGTGCTCCCTGACTCTTTTCAGGCCAACAGGGGCCCAGGGGGCCCCTTTCTATGGAGGCTCTCTGTGCTGGGGGCCTGGAGGAGGCAGCTGCATGAAGGACTTAGGATGGAACTCGCTCTGATTTTGAAATCTGATAAGGAATACTCTTTAGCATAAAAAGGGGGGTAAACACGGTCTACTTTGGCAAGCTTATTAAGCAGATGGCCAACCCTGTACTCCAGGGCCCCCGCTCCAGGGCCAAAAGCCGCTCCCCTAGTCCGACCCTCCCCCTTTGCCCCTGTGACATGGCAATACGCTCTTCTGGTCTCTGGCTCGGCTCCGATCCTGCACCATCCCTGAGGATGGGCTGGTACCCAAGTTTAGGACAGCGGGGACTCCCCCTCCCAGGTCAGTCAGGGGGTTATTCTGGGAGAGATGTGCCCTGCGCTTTTCACCCTGGCCTCACCTGCTCACTCACTTTCTGAAGTCTGAGGGTGAACGGACCCCTCCTGGCTGCAACAAGGACCTGCCTATTGGGCTCTGCTTGGTCCCTGTTCTCCAGCTTGGGACAACATTCCAGGATCATCCAAATTCTCTGGAATTAGATTTGAGGGTTCTCGGTCTGTTTCCTGATGCCTGGCTGATGACATCCCAGGAATATTTAGGAAGCATTAGCATATGCTGCCCACAAGTGGGGTCCACAGTGTGTGCTCTGCTCCTATAATCCTATAATCTGTCATCATCAGGTCTCATGGGAAGCTTCTCCTTTGTTTCAGAGTTTGGCTCTCAGGAACTTCATCAACAAAATTCTTCTTGAGCTTCTAAATTCTATAGCAGTCAAAGAAGGAGACCTTTGAGTTGTTAATGGCACTTTGGTTTTTAACCCTTGGGATCTGGGGGATAAAGCCAGTTTAAAAAAAAAAAGACAGTGACACTCATAAATTAAATTTTCTGTTTATCTCAACAACTCTGGAAAATTGGACAATATCCTAGGGTTTGATAGACCAACTAACTCTTTAAACTATGAAAAACAAGTATTTCTTGCTTTATATCCTACAGAGAACATCTAATTAGTCTTCTGTCATTGATTTCAATGCAGGTTCAGACTGCTATCCTAAATTAATTTAGCTTAATGAAGGTATGTAACTTTTAAATGGAATAAAATAAATGAATATATTTGCAACTGGCTATTTCTTGGTGGTGTTAAGAGATAACAAATAAAAATCCAGAAATGTGTATTTATTAACAAGAACATCTTTTTTTTTTTTTAAGATCTTATTATTAAGTCATCTCTACACCCAACGTGGGGCTCAAATGTATGACTCCAAGGTCAAAAGCTGCAGACTCTTCTGAGCCAGCCACCCCAACAGGAGAATCCTGGAGCACCCAGTTATGTCTATCCAAACATGTGGGTTCTCTACAGGCTTGTTTTTTCCTGGTCATGACTTTACCTTATGTGCAAAATACACGAAGTTTTCCCTATAAAATTGTCTCTAGTTTACAGAGTGAAATTGTGCATATTAATATTTCAAAGCCCTTAGTAAAGAGCATGGCATTCTTATTCACAGATATTTGGGCTCCTGGACAAGTGGAGAACCATCATTTTTAAAAAATGACGTCATCTACACACATACACACCCCCCAGATGCGCTGTATACCACACACACACACACACACACACACACACCCATACATACACACACACCCCAGACACACCATATACCACACATACCCACACCCACACACACGCCCCTTAGACACACTGTATACCATATACATACATACACATACACACCCCTCTAGACATGCCATATATTGCACACACACATGCACACACGTCAGATGCACTGTATACCACATACACACACCCATACCCCCCAAATGCGCCATATACCACACACACACACACACACACACACACACACACAGCAGACGCACTGTATACCACACATACACACACACACAAAACCCCAGACACGCTGTATACCACACACACACACACACACACACACTCCACTGTCCTCTCTCACACTGATGCTTACTTTGTTTTTCTCATCATACTGCCGTCTGGACTCAGCCAGCTGCTCTTCAAGCTCTAGCAACATGTCCTTTAGGGTATCAACCTGGTACAGGAAGTTCGTCTTTTCATTGTCCAGCTGAGCGTTGGAAACCATAGCCTTCTTATACTTCTCTTCCACTTCTGCTAGTGAGTCCTGCAGAAACCATGTCGTGTTTTTGAAATTGTGTAAGAGAACAAAAACAAAGATTAGTTCAGCGGTCTTCGAAAAGGAAAAAAAAAACAAACCCCAAAACCCAAGAAAACCCTGCCCTAGTTTTAGACTTTATTTCTTTGGGCAAATGGATCCGGATAAGAAACACATGACAATTTCAAATGCACAGACATTCCCCCCTTTCAATGCTGTCAAATCGGTTATTAACCACTCAAGAGTATTAGTCATTAACTCAGAAAGTTAGTTCTTAGTTGTGACTGGAGGAAGATGCCTTCCACGGCCATCAGTGCAAGGGAGACACGTGACAGGGAGGCTCTGGGCCTAACCCTGGGACCTGACTCCGTGACTCAGGGGCGCCCGTCAAAACGGCTTGGGCCGTTCTGGTTTCTGAAGTTGTCCCTCAGGAAATGTGACCAGGATGCCGGAAAGAGCCAATGGGTGTCGGGTGAGAAAACACCTGTCCCCAGCTGCCGGCTGCCCTGGCTGGGCTTGGGAACTGGGAAAGGATTACATGGAATTTTGTTTCCACCTACGGACGACTCAACAAGCTACACATGTCTCACTGGGTCAGTCCTGGAAGGATGGAGGGCATTCCTCTGAAAGGACAGCCATAGTGAGAGAGACCTACAGAGGAAACACAGCTCTCCCGCAGCTCACACCCTCGTCGGCCAGGCAACGGGGGAGTGTGTCTGTCCCCAAGCACAGATCCTGGGAAGGTGACCCCAGGACAGGGAGGGTGAATCCCTAGGGTGGGTGAACTACCCGAAGCGAAACAGAGATGGGCACTGCGTGGTCAGGCCCCTGAGGAGGCCTCATGGAGCCCCGGGCTGTGCTCGCCTATGCTCATGAACCAGGGCGGTGGTTTCCAGTGGGACCCCCTTCTCACCGCGCATTCAGTGTCAACTGTAACATCCCCCTCTCTTCAAGGAGAGGTGACAAGCATGCCAGGGATTGATTCATTTTAAAACCAGCGTAGCCTCTGGTTGGTGTTCCTGTGATAGAAAAGTCAGACTATTCTGGGGGGTCCTTTCTGGGGGGCTGAAGAGGAAGTCATAGGTTTACCATCTAGTGCGAGATCTACAGAGAACACAGTCTTCAACAACCCACCTCACCACCGAGGAATACGGCCACTACATTTCCTGGGTGGCACGAGGCCATGACAACACATTCTTACTGTCGTGCGTTCTTGCTCAAATAAATCCAGGAGGGTACACGCTAGAACGCTGCTTCAGCTAGTGAAACTCTACAACATGCAAGCAAGTACTCTGGGTGTCTCAGAAACACGGCAATAAGGACTGGCTTCCTGGTGGCCGTCCAGCCCTTAGAGATGAAAATTAAGTGAAACATCGTTTGTAGGGAACTAGGGGGGACAAGAAAGAAAACCCCGAAAGTCTTGCACAGTACACTCCTGTGGGAAGTGAAAAGAAGCCGGGTGTGGGCCGGGGAAGGAAGGTGAGTCCAAAACATGCATCAGGAAGTGTGTTAGTAAGTCATCTTCCTAAGGGCCACCGGGCTCAGGGCTCCGTTTAAAAGCTGCGTCGGGGAGGCTGCTCAGGCCATGAGGCCCCGCCCGTGCCCCTGCCCCCTGGAGTTCTGCAGCCTGGAGGCTCCTGAGGGAGAGGATGCTGTCTGCGTGCCTTCTTCAGGGTTTTCTGAAGTTAAGCTGGGTTAACGCCATCAGCCCACACTTGTGTAAACTAGTACCTTCATCTCTTTCAAGCCCTGCATGTATTTGCCTTCTACGTCCTGAATCTGGTCCTTTAACTCATTCAGTTCCTAGGAATTGGCAAAAGAGGCAAATGATATCGGGGGGAGAAAAGTGATCACGACTGCAAAAAAAAGAGAAGCCATCCTCTAAATCTTTTTTGCTTTGGGGTCATTGCCCTCATCTGGGGAGTCTGGGCAGTGATTTTCTTTTTTCTTTTTTTTTCAAGTGTTGAAGGAAAATGAAATGAATCTCAAAATCACAAAAGCTTAAAATTGAGGCCTACCTCATATGATATTTCCATAAAATTTTACAAAATGTAGGTCTGTGTCCTTGCATTTTTGCACAATTTTATAAAATAGGCAAAAGAGGTTCCCCCAAATGGAATGGGTTCTTTTATTCCTATTTCATAGCTCGCTCAGGCTCTCTGGGTTGCTGCCTGGTGCTAGACAGAGTGAAATACTGAAGATGGGACTCAGCCGGGCTCCGTCCCTGCGTGTACAGAGCTCCGCAACTTGGCTCCACATGCCCGGGGCCCGGAGTCTGGTCTGAGCTACACTCTCAGCACGTGCTCGCCGAGCGGATGGACAGTGCTCTCCAGGCCAGGAGCAGAGACGAATCAGGGCTGCTCGCAGCCAACTGCTCTTGGACGTGGCAAAGAGCTACGTTGGAGGCCCAGGGAGGGCGCATGGATGTTTTAGGAAGAGCGGCCCACAAAAACTGTTCTTACAAAGCACAAGACTTTGAAGACACTTCCGGGGAGACCGGACCCTGCCCTGGCTGCTGCTGCGTCCCTTCTCTGACCTCCCTGGCAGGTGGCCATCTGGCTTTCAGATACCATGGGCACCTTTGCACCGGTTTTAATTATTAGAAAGTTCTTCCATCAACAAAGCCAATTCTAGTCCTTGACGCTTCCCCCTTGGGCCTTGGTTCTTTGCTCCAGGGGACCTAAGTTCCGGTTGCCTGAGGTTCCTAGGACTGTCTTTGTCTCTTAGACACTCAGAATGGCCCCCCACCCCATCGAGTGGTGAGTTTGGAGCACAGAAGAGTGCTTACATTCCAGTAGCAGGAGGAAAAAAAAAAATCACTGGAACACAACAACGATCTATTCAAGGCAGATTATGCATACCACGGATGTCAAGGGAGAGCATATTCTAGGCAGGGGAGGGGACACTCAAAGAGCAAGGTGGTGTTTTCGGGAGCAGTGAGTAATCTGGTGTCCAAAAAAAATGGAGACCATTCCAAAAAAAATGGAAGCCACCTGTCTGTGCAAGCCTGATGTACGGAAGTTGGCTGAGCACCGCAGGGCCGCGGGACGAGGGCCTCAGCAAGGTGTGCTAGATAGGCTGGGGAGCGCAGAGGGCACAGGTCTGCCCAGCCGGGTTGGGGGGAGTGTGGGGCGCGGGTGGGGTGGCTTCCCGTGGGAGACGCCATCTGAGCTGGTGTTCGTGGGACTAGAACAAAAGTGTTTATGGGATGTAAGGAAGACTGGTCCCAGAAGAAAGATCCAGAACCTTACAGATTTGTGCTCGAAGACTAATTTTCCTCAGAGGCTCCTCTAGGTCACAGGCAGGTTGGCAGCCTTACCTTGATTTCCCTAATGGAGGCCTCGGTGTCCACAGAGATGGAGGTGTCCCCACTTCCCCTTCGAGAGGAGGTCCCGCCGAGGGAGGCCAGGGTGGCTGCAGACAGGCCGGGCAGGCCGCGCGAGCCCTGGGACGCCACAAGAACCAAATGTGATTTCAGACAAAACCAGAGTTCCCCGAAAGTGTACTGCGATGTTGTCAGATTCCCTAGGGGCTTATGGAAAGCAATCAAGAGAGGGTCCCTTTGAGGGGCCTCATGGATGCCTGAGAATCAGTCAGGGTCCACCTCATGCCCAAGCCTGGGCCCATGGGGAACCTCTGCTCTTTGCAGGGTGTGACACCCATGCTGGAAGTGACTCTGGGGTGACCCCCTGAAGGACATGGTGTGGCACACATGTCCTGTTCCTTCACGGGCCAGTCTCTTCATTCAAGATTAACCAATGCATTCTCTTGTCAGTTTCATCCACGCACGTGGGGGCCCTCGTGGTTTATCAACAGCACGATGTCAAGGCTTCCAGAAATTCCTTACCTTCTCGGTGAACTCTTTTTCTGGTCTCTCTTCAACCTGTGGAGGAAAATGGACAAATACAAAATACTTAAGCACATTAAATGGATAATATGGGTTTAGAGGGTAAGACGGTCACACGACATTAGCTTCCTTTGTGATTTAAAAACTGCTTTGCCAATGAAACCTGTGGATCTACTCGAGCCAGGCTGTTCCAGGCACAGTGGGGGCTCACGGACAGCTCATGGGGCCCAGCATGAACTTTACTGGGTGGTTTTTCCACGTTGAGACTTCCACGGGAACGCGACGTCTGAACGGCATGCACACACTGACCACAGGAAGCTCCTCATCAGGGACTTGTGAATGAACCCCATCTGCACAGGGCTCCTGCAGAGCTTCCCACAGTGCTGCGTGTTGGTGCCCATGTGGGGGACGAGGACAAGCTTCCAGCCTGCTTCCCGCCACCCCCCACCCTCCCATCGCTATGGTCACAGTAGAGAGTGGGACCAGGCCTCTCGCTGCCCAGGTCTGGAAAGCAGGAGGAAGCAGTGGAGCCATTACAATTCTTCCTCCTTCTCGTGAATAATGGTGCCAAAGTGAAGATTCTGGTTGAACCACCTTGGGACTGATGCCCAGATGTGGGGAGCTGGCGGCGGGGCCAGGGGGGTGGCGGCACAGGAAAACCTGCCAGGTGAAAAGGGAGAACCCAGAATCTGGCTATTCGTGAGGCTGTCTGTCCCTTCTTCGGGCAGGACTCTCAGGGGGACCCAGGGCAGCCCACGGAGCCCTGGCATTGCCCCCAAGGGAGGCCATGCGTCTTGGAGGAGCCTGGGGGTCAACGGGCTGTGGCCGGCACTGGGGCTTCATCTTTCTTTGCTGAGCATCCTACAAAGGCCAACTTCTTCTTTTTTTTTGCACATTGAGGGCTCCTTTCCATAAGCCCATCGGGAAGGTCACAGAGGGCGAGGAAACCTATGCCTACTGTCTCCAAACCTCTGGGGGAAGCTGACAGCTACTCAGGCCTTTCCTAGCATGTCTCTGATTGCTCTTCCTGTAGCTCAGGTGTTCTTAACTCTGACCTCCAGGGAGCCGAATACAGACCACAGCTCTGCCTCAGTAGACCCAGTGGGCAGCCACAGGCGCTGCTGCCCTCGCACATTCAGCCACAGACATTCCAGACTCAGGTCGAGGAACCCCGATAGAGCTGGGTCGGAGGCTCACGGACACTCAAAGAGCCCACAAGGAAGCTGGGCTCGGGAGAGCATGAGGGTGTAGGGACGAAGCACTGGTCGGGACACTGGATAGGCAGTGATCTTCTGTGAAGACTGACACTCCCTATCTGGTGCCCACCCTGGGCCCACATGGGCTGGATGCTCAAGGCCTCACCACCCCCACCCCATCCCCCACAAGGCTCACTAACAGCTACCTTCTCTCCTCCAAACCCATCACACCTTCACCTTTCTCTTCCAGGGCAGGACATCTGAAGCAAATAGGAAAGTAAGATGGCCAAGTGTAAGACCAAGTCAGCCCACCAGGAGGCTCAAATGGAATCCCAAAGAATACTCGATTAATCCAAAAGAAGGTAATTTCCAAAACCAGCTCCGAGCTTAGCCAAGCTCAAGTGTCTCCTGCTCATAAGATCCAAGTTCAGCCCTGGGGTCTCATTCCCGAAGCCACCCCATGTGGTCTCCCCAACTTGGGTCTTCAGCAAGAACTCCCTGTTTTCATTTTATTGGTCTTCTTACTGTCCTCCAAGTAGGAGAGGAAACGAGAGCGAAGTGGGATGGATCAGGCTCGTGGGATGGATCCAAGGGCAGACTGGCCTCCCTCCCTGTCTGTTAAATAAGCCCTTCATGAGGGGGCTTCGGACGCTAGTCCTGCCCCGCCCAGAGGACTCTCCTTGCCACTCGGCCACACTGGTTGTCCTCGGAGAGCCTGTGCCAGCCTGTGCGTCTCACAAGAGCTTCCCAGGCAATCTCAGCCCATGTGTCCTTCTCCACTTCTTGATGTGGGCTGGTGGCAGCCCATTAAAGACAGCTGGCTCTCCAACTGTGTGCCATGTCTCCTCCCATTTGTTGGCATATGTGTTTTGTGGGTGTGAAAACCACACCCCAAATTATCCTTCTTTCCAGATGTGCATGCCACATCAGCCTGAGCAGATGCTCTGTGGGGGCTGAGGTGGCCTTTGGCCAAGAAGGTTCTAGCTCCCTGCCCCTGGCAGACCCCCAAAGAGCCCCGGGCTAGTGTTCTCATTGTGATGCTGTCAGCATTTCAAGTGTGGTTCTTCTCTCCACTCGGGAAGAAAAATATTCCTGAAAACTTCAAATCAGTGAGGAAAAGCTGACTAGATAGCAACGGGTCTGCAGGAGAATCAGTGTATTAAGTCTCCTGGGCCTGAGTCCCTCACTCCCTAGAATCAGTACGTCTGTGGAACACATACTCATGAGATGGAAGGAAGGAAGGTAATTTAACTACTGGTCGAACATGAAGAGCCAGCGTCAGACTCTCAAGTCACCGCTGAGAAGCTGGCTGCTTTTTGCCTCTACAGGTTACATAGAATCTTTTCCAAATGCTTGTCAGCAGCAGATAAATATTCTGTATATAAATGAAAGTCCAGAGATCCACCTACGGAGATAGCTGTACCCGTACAAGAAGGACTCTACGTTTTTTAGTTTTTCTTGAGATAAAGATGAGGAAGAATACAGATCAGACCAAAAAACACTGGTTCGGGGGGGGGGGGGGTGTCCTTTAACACCTGCTGTGCTCTGCACTGTTTCCCTTGATACCATCAACATAAATATTATTTTTGTAATTTGCAAAACATCAAATAAGGAAGAAAAAAAACCCTAAAACCATAGCTAGCTCTTTAGTTTTCAAAAAAAGTTTAAAAATAGTTTTAAAAAAAGCCTTTGCTCAGAAATACATAATGAACTCAGGATGGGAATGTCTCAAATGTGTTTTTAAGTAGAGACCTGTTGGGGGGGGTGCAGATGAAACTCTCGAGTGTTATAGCCACTCTCTGCCTAACTGTTGTTTCCAATCTCTTGTGCATACATTAGGGTAAGTGCCTTTAGTCCGTTTCTGAATGACAGAGGATACGTGTGCTCGTTTCTGAAATCGGAAGGACAGGATGAGGGGCCCCATGAAGGCACACCTGCAGCAAGGAGCTGTTGCAGACCCCAGAGCTGCCACTAGATGGCAGCCTGTATGGCACGAAGGAGGCCAGCAGGGAGCTGTCCCCACTTCATAAAGCATGCCTCACCTTCCCCTAAGCAAAGGGACAGATAAGGAACCGAGGGGATGTGTTTAATTTTGACATAAAGCACGGCACTTTAACCTCTGAAAATAATACAGAAAGACACAGAATTGAAAAACATTCTGAATCCTGTCCTAGTCGTGGCATGACACCATGTGGGCGGGGGGCACCACAGGGCACACACGCGGCAGAGCGGGACCTGGGGGAAGCTGTCATGGGCACTTGCTGCGAGCCACTGAGACCCATACTTGCATGGGGCCAGGGCCGAGCCACAGGACCTCCGTGAACACCAGTGTCCAAGTCTAGCGCCCACATCCCGCAGGCCTTCACTTTGTCATTCCCCTGAACCAGCAATTCTAAACCTTCTAGGTGTGCATGAAAACAAGTGTGTCCCAGCATTTTACAATCACAACTGAATGTACACAAAGACAGGTTTTTAAATCAACTAGAAATAGTCACTTTAAAAAACATTTCTGTTGAATTTTAAATTATGGCCACTCTTCCTCTCAAAAAAAAAAAAAAATTCTCTCAAGTGATCCAAGTAGCACATTAAGTACTTCATGAATCCCAGCCTTTCAACGTCATGTCTACACAGGCATACTGCCTGGGCTCCCTTCAACACCACGTCTGCTGAGGCCCACAGTTCCCAGCCTACCCACCTGCCTAGAGACATGACACAACACATGAGCATGGCCGGACTCCGGCAGAGGAACTCCTCCTCACAGTGTCCTTAGCTCCCACCGCACAACCTCAGAACCCAGATGCAAGATGGGACCAGAGAAGCTGTGTCCACGCACAGTCCCTCTCAACAACAAACTGACAATAGTGACCACTCCTCAGAAAACAGAAAACAGGGCACCTGGGTGGCTCAGTGGGTTAAGCCTCTGTCTTCAGCTCAGGTCATGATCTCAGGGTCCTGGGATCGAGCCCCGCATCGGGCTCTCTGCTCAGCGGGGAGCCTGCTTCCCTTCCTCTCTGTGCCTGCCTCTCTGCCTACTTGTGATCTCTCTCTGTGTGTCAAATAAATAAATAAAATCTTTAAAAAAAAAACCCAGAAAACATTTTAAGGGCAATTTTACTTCATGTAGTCAAGTAATTAAGTCTTCCATTGGTGTGGAAATTTTGTTTTTTTATCCAATAACACTGACGTTCTCCTGAATGACTTATCCTTGGACACCTGGATTCATAACACATGACCTGTGCTTCCACCTGCTGCCCCTGCCTCTCCACACAACATTAAACACGGGTCACTGCAGTCTCTTGTATTTCTGGCTAAACCAGCTGGAACTTCCAGTTGTCACTCATATTTGCTCTAAACACACACAGGAACACAGATCTGGGCTTGGCTCGGGACATCTCTGATGGATGTGTCGGCGTCCCCAGGCGAGGCCCTCTGCGTGGGTGTGCTCGGGCCAGGACCACCAAACCTCCCGATCCCAGCTCTCAGATTCCTGCATCTCTCCCCGGGAGTTCATATCGTATGTGTGCCCGTGTGCTGCCTGCCTGTCTCCTCTGGTCTATGCATCCCTGAGGGCTGGAACAGGTCTGCCTACTCACCATTGCAATGCCATGCCTAGAACACCTAGAGCCTAGGTACTCAGTAAACACTGGCTCAAAGAACCGCAGCTTCCCTCAAGGGGAAGGCCCCAGACTTGTTGGAGAAGAACTTACGGGTTATCTACAGAATGGGAACGACATGACTGAGGTTCTGAGGTGGGCCAGGCATCTGCTGAGAGGGCCAAGGGCTGGGGGATGTCTCTGGATGCTGAGGCACCTTTATTTTCTTCAAGTGGGCCGAGCTACCCCTTCCTCCATTCTGGTTACTTTTGCTCTTTAAGAGTGCTCCGCCCCCACGCCCGGGGCACCTGCCTTTCCTCCACACCCAGCTGTCCCTTGCCCCAGTCCTACTCCCTTCTCAGAGAGGCTCCTGTCCCCTGCCTGCCCTCACACTCCCCTGGATCCACATTCCTGATGAATCACCGGGCCACGGACCACTCCCCAGGAGCCACAGGAGCACTGGCAGGAGCCGTCGAGGCCCAGATGGGGCAGGAGGATGGCCCATCCCACACAGACTGCAAGATGCTGACCTTCGCTCGTGAAACGCGCAGACGGCTCGGCAGCCGGCTGACCTTTGTAAATGAGCAGTTGTCTCGGGGAAGAGAAACGATAGCTTACGGAAGCAGTTACATTTCCCGGGCTGTAAACACCAAGAATTAAATGAGAAAGAGCCTGAGGATCAGAAGGGCCCGCCAGCCCTGGAACCCCTTGCTTTTCCCCCTGGATGGTGCCTGGAGATGCTCTGAGGCTGGGGCTTGGAGTCTGGGCGTAGCTGGGGCCGGGCCTCTCCCGGCTGGCCGGCAATGACCCCTGGGTCCCAGGGTCCTGAGCGTGTTTAATGCCGCCTCTCTGGTTACTGTCACTGACTGAACCTGTTGTATGTGGGTACATTTTTCACAGAGATTGAAAGCATAAGACACCGAACTTTGTGTCTGATCTCGACCGCTTCGGTCTACGTGACTAGATGAAGTCCTCTTGTTCTATGACTTCGTCCTGAGGCCTGAAGAGAGACCCAGAGCAGTCAAATCATCATGGCCTTCATGACTCCGTGCTTCCGGGGAGCCGGCCCCAGGGGGCTCGTGATCCTTCGAAGGGCGGGCCACAGCCGCCTTCTGTCAAGTGCAAATACTTCTATTACTTCCCCAAACATGAGTGAGTGTGAGAGAGCATCACGCCTAAGAAGACTGAGACTCCGTTCAATTCCCCACAGGAAATGTTTCTCCCCAGTCGCTGCAAGGCTCCCCGTTTGCGTCCTGTGCTACTCCAGGGAATGGAGGGCACCCCAAAAAGGAACTTGCCCAATTTAAAAACAGATGTTATGTGCTGTTGAATAGGATGACCTTCCTATTCCTGCTGGATGGGTCACCGGCAGAGCCATGAGCCCCCGGGCTGCATGCGGCATCTGCCACCACACCTTCCTTCACGCTCCCCAGCGTTCAGGCTGTGGCTGCCCTGGTCTCCTTGGGACCGGGCTCCAGTGGCTCCCCGGGCCGTGAGGGTGGGTGGCTGGGTGCGTGAAATGGGTAGGATGCAGGGACAGGTGCTCGTGTTGACAGAGCGGGGTATCTGCATTTCTATAAAGCACTGGGCTGTCCTGTTGTACAACAGGGTCCCGGGTCTGCATTCTGTTTCCTCACCCTCCACATATACATGGTGGCGAGGATCACTCCCCCTCATCGGATAAGGCCAGCGCAGGCCCAGGGATGAATGGCGCTGGCCTCGGCCTTGGAGTCAGGGACCACAGAGCACGGGGCGGTGTGGCCACGCCACCCGGCGATTTGGGCTTGGCTGCCAGCGATCCCTTTACCCTTCCCCAGAAGCAGCCAGTGTCTGCATTTGCATGGAACATCAATGCTTGAAAAGACTATCTGATTTCAAAAACAAGCAGATCACCAGCAGCCAACAGGTGCATCTGTGCCCACAGGAGACCGCGGCTCGGTGGCCTCTTCTCTCACCACAAGGATCACTCCCCGAATCCAGACCTCCACACATCTAACCACGGTGCCGTACCACCAAGCTGAGGGCCGCAGAACACAAGCTTCTCTGTCACTGGGGAGTTGAGCAAGAGACCCGCTTTGCCTGCTTGGCTTTCCTATAGTTGGGGTTTATCAAGGAGGACGCCCTGGCCTTTAGTGTGGCAATCCTTAGCTGCGTGGGGCAGGCTCGCACACCACACGGCCCCAGCTCCTGCCCCCAGACGCTGTGCCAGCCCACCCACTCACAGGCGTCCCCTGGGCAACTGGCCTGCACGCCCTCATCATCAAAAGAAGGTACAGTAGCCTCGTACAAAGCATCAGATGAAGAGAAATCGTCTGAGATTGCAAAGACCCTGGGACAAATGCAGAACAAGGACATGGAAAGGCTGGGAACTAGGGGGTGAGAAACGGGAGGGCGGCTCTGTAGTCTCCCCGATCCCAAACAGTGGGAGAACTCATGGGACAGTGGGAGCAGTGGCCTTTCCAGGTGATACTTGATTTTAAAAAGCCCACCTGGGTCCAGTAACAGATGACATTACAAACAAAGTTATAGGCCTATCCTTCCGACTTTTAAGTCATTAAATAAATAAATAAATAAATAAACCCACACATCCACACACCTGGCTACATCTCCCCCCAGTGTACAAAGTGTCCCTCCTCCCAGGCAGCCCCAAGCCCTGTTAAACTCTTACGTGATCCTTTAGAAATTTAGCAACGCAATTCTGCTATCATGGAATAGTAGTATTAGAAATTTGGAAGCATTTTCCCCAGTTGCGTTTCTGCTCAGACCTGGAGTAAATCCCAGAAAAGCCCTCCTACTTTAGGCTGCACTAGGGCCCGTTGGAGGCAGAGGGTTCCTTCTGCAGGGCAGCGGAGTGAAGAGCAGAAGGGCAGGGGAAAGGAAGGAGGAGAGAGGGTGTGGAGCAAGAGGCACACTCACCACTGGGCTGGCCCGTGCTGAGCTGGCTCTGGACGAGGCTCGGGAGCTGGAGTTGAGGTGGCCGCCGTGCTCCGAGGGCTGCCCACACAGCCGCAGCCGGAACGCAGACAGAAACAAAGGGACAGGGTCAGCAGAGCTACTGGAGTGTGAGCAAGGAGGTCAGCCGCGCGCCAGGCAGAAAGGACAGGGGCGAGTGCGAAGAGCAGGCTCCCCTCGCAAAGGAAGACTGTGTTGCTCACAGCTGCAAATACATGCCCGCTAAGAACAGAAAAAAATTAGTCATAATATCAAAAGAACACAGGATTCTTGGTTAGTGAGAAGAAAGCCACGCAAAGCGTCTGTTCAGCCCGGGAGGGGAGTGACGGCTGGTGCAGGCACAGACAGCCCCGGGGCTACGTGGAAACAACAGGACGCGTGGCTTCCCAGCGGTGGGCAAGTGTGCTTCGTCTCCCTCTCCAAGGGAAAACAAAGTTAAGATTTAGGGTTCCTCCAACATCGGGCGCAGCTAGTTCAAAGCGCCAGGTGACCTGGCTGGGGTGCCTGAATGAAGGTTTTATCTGTCTCTCCACCTGCCTGAACATTCTCTCTTCCAGCAAAAGAAAACACCTCAACTCACGGATCTGGAAGTGACGCCCTCTTGACTTTGATTTGCATCCACCCTCCTTCTGGTCCGAGACAGATTTTCCTGTGCTTTTGTTTTAATCTTCCTTTTCTCCTCAGTGAGGTGGGCGAGGAGGGGAGGTGGGATTCCAATCCCACTGAGGGCCACAGGCACCCAGGGGATTGTGGTGTGGCCTGAGGGGACTTTCCAGAGCCCTGCGGGGCCCAAGAGCAGCACCCCCAATCCGGCCCTGCTGCCCCCCAGGCTATGCACCCTGCCCAGCAGGGGCTGACTGTTCTCCCCCCCCCCCCCCACCCCCGGGCCCAGCAGGCATTCTCTCTACTGCAAATTACAGCAGGCACAGAACTACAGCTCGTGACTCTCAAGTATCACCTTTTAGTTTGCACATTTTTCCACCAGCACGTAATCCCCTGAGGGCAGGGTCTGTGTCTAACCCCTGCTAAATCCGCAGGGACCAGACGAGGCCTGGCATACAGTGTGAGCTCGAGAAATACTTGCTGAGTGAACAATTTCAACTTCAGACTGTAAAGAGCCAGACCTACCCTACCTACTCATTATCCTTCTCCTTCCTTTATCCAATTAAGATTGACACTGACGTGCAACACACTGTCTCCCATGCACAGGTAAGAGAGCAGTGCACACCCCATACGGGAGGGTCACTGTCACATCTGGCGTACACAAGAAATTTACCAGGATGACTATTCTCACCTTTTGCTCTATTACGCAACATAAAAGGAAATACCTAAGGTCAGTACTTTAAGGCAGAATCTTGCCTTCGGGTTCACACACAAGAGCAAGGAAAACTGTCCTGCAGAAAACCTTACTGTGTCCTCTGTCATTTGTGTTCTGGTTTACTATGCAGAGACGGGAAAGGCTGCCGTTAACAGGGCTGACCGCTGGCCCGGGTGATCCTAACTCCCCAGTCAAAAACCACTCCCCGATCAACTGACCTGATCATGCAGGAAAGAGTAAGTTCGGGGTCTCTATCACTCTGGTCCACGTGCCCCCTTTGAATAGCTTGTGTCTTGGAGCCTGCGTGACTGGTATGGGGCTACTGTAAGCTACAAAGATCCTTGTGGTGCCTGGGTGTGTTTAGTCGTTAAGCATCTGCCTTCAGCTAAGGTCCTGATCCCACGGTCCTGGGATCAAGTCCCACATCAGATTCCCTGCTCAGCAGGGAGCCTGCTTCGCCCTCTCCCATTCCGCCTGCTTGTGTTCTCTCTCTCTGTCTCTCTCTGTCATATAAATAAAATCTTAAAAAAAATTTCTAAAGATCCTGTCCAGGCTCTATCTCTTACTGGCCATGGGACCTTGGAAAGTTACTCAGCCTGTTACCTGGGATGTGGAATTGTAAGGACATTGGCCACACAGAGGAGCTGAGGGTTACATAGAGAAGGCGGGGGTCTTCCCTGCTTTACCCTCTCTGCCGTAAGCAACTTTTACACTCCTGGATCTGATGGCACTGGTGCTGACAACTGCTCCCAGCTGTGTCACACACAGCTTAATAATGGTAAGGAAGATATAAAATAGAAAGGTTTCCAAGCAAAACAGTGATACTTACAAGAAAGCTAGTCATCTACTCTCTAATCGTTAAACTGTACTTAAGTCATTTAGTTGTAAACACATACTGTCGTTGGGGCTACCTTCTGGGGGAGGCTAACAGAAGCTGGACGCTCTGGAGATGGGGAAGAATCTTCCAGAGTGGGATCAGGACCATCCCATGCAGACTTAGGGTCAGCCTGGACTCAGGTCGAAGCAGAGGGTCCTCCTCTCCAGCTCTGTCCTGGGCTGAAGGACAGGACAGGACACCCACGCTGCACCCTCCTCACCACAGGGATGCCTATCAGCCAGCAGCAGCCGTGGCTGGACCAGAGCCTGAGGAAGCTCTCTCCACAGCCACATTCCCGGATATAGGAAACTGGCATCCACTGGGAGGGCAATCTTGGGGCTTGGGGAGATGCCGAGGATGGGGCTCAGCGAACGCCCCTCCCAACCAGCCTGCCAATATGCTGCCAAAGGTCTCTTCTGAGGGATTTTAGCCTGGGTTCTACTTGTCCAATTTAATTCAGCAAATGCATACTGAGCTCTTTCTGCATGGGAGGGCAGTGCTAAGTGCAGAAAAAAACGTATTTTTACTCTCTTTGACTTCTTCTGCCTGGCTTGATGCCAGAGACATGCGGCCACACTTTAGACATTTGTGCTGTTGGGACAAGGAGACGTTTGACTTTCTTAACTTCCCGAACATCACCACTCCCAGGTGGTTCCTACAGGAGGCAGGAGGCACAGAATTAAGAGTGCTCAGCGATGCTGGATAAGAATCGGGGGTCTCAAAGTCCACCTGCAGGGTCGAAGGGGAACTGAAGGGGAACGTACACCCCACCTGCTCGGGGGCTCGACTTTGGTCATCGAAAAAGTACCCGGTGCTTGGGGAAAGTTTCATTCTCTTGAAAAATTACCGTGTGTGTGTGTGTTTTTTTTTTTCTGATAAAAGAAAATCCTTTAGCTGCATTTTATCTGTCACATGTCGGCCAGAGCTATTTTCTCCAGTAGGCATGATTTGTGAGCTTCTTAATGGCCTACACAAATGTTTAAGAACTGAGAAAAAGATTTACTATAGTGGGCTCTGGCACATTTCAAATGGTATGCGATATAAAATTAATACATGTCTAATTAGACGTCAACAGAAACTAATGCTACGTCCATTAATATTTATAAAGATTACATTCTAAAGAAAACTTTAGGTGTGACAGCTTCATACGAATTTCTGAATATTTATGAACTACAATAAGCCAGAAATTGGATTATTTAACCAATTAAGTAACCAGTTAGTATCAAAAGCAACATTGTAAAGGCACTTTCAAGTAGTTCTTTGTAAACCGTGATGTTTCCTGTGGGGACCCGGGGGTGCGTCTGCATAGGAACTATGAGGAGCCCTGCCGAGGAGCAGCCCCTGCTGAGGAGCAACCCCTGTAGAGGACCAGCCCCTGCTGAGGAGCAGCCCCTGCTGAGGAGCAGCCCTGGCAGAGGAACAGTCCCTGCCGAGGATCAGCCCCTGTGGAGAAGCAGCCCCTTCCGAGGAGCAATCCCCGCAGGGGAGCAACCCCTGAGGAAGAACGGCCCCTGAGAAGCAGCAGCTCCTACAGAGGAGCAGCCCGAGGAGGAGCCCTTTGGAGGAGCAACCCCTAGGAGGAGCAGGCCCTGCGGAGGATCAGACCCTGAGAAGGAGCAACCCCTGAGGAGGAGCCCCTTCGAGGAGCAGCCCCTGAGGAAGAGCAGCCCGAGGAGGAGCCCCTGTGTGTAGAAGCATCCACACTGGGTTGATGTTCAGTTTCGCCTGCCCCTCAGGATGGGACCAAATGAGCCTCCTTTCTTTCATGGAATAACTCTATTTTTCTATTTTTGCTTCCCTCTTTCATTCACTCCTTTCTTCACTCAACAAGTATTTCTTGAACAACTGACTACCACACCTTTATTGTGAGTGCTGAGTCTTGTCATTTCAAATCCTGGGAGGAGGTGGAAAGACAGCAAAGTAAAAGGGAATTATGTACAGGTCCTGAGTCTTTAAATTTGTTCCTCTTCCTCGATTATCCAGAGGTGACAATAATTTGTGGCCTGTGGAACTCCCCTCTCCTTCCTGTTGTTATTTCAAGAGCACCTCATCCCATGTTAGTACTGTTAGCGTGTTGCAGGAAAGAGCCCAGGAACCTCAACTAAGGTCCATCTTCTCCCTTGAACTCAAGGTAAATTGATGTGTGAGGACATTAACCTGCCAGCCAAAGCCTTCATGATTCACAGACCCGTGACCCTTATGACAACAGAAAATTGAGATGAGACAGTGTTCCCTCCCTAGAACCCCCATTAGTTCTCTCCAGTGGCTGGACTAGTGTCCAGTGAGCCACCTGGGACCATGCAGCACACAGGAGGAAATTCGGGAACCACAGAAAATGCCTTACAGCATAGGAACCACAGGCACTGCCCCGCCGAGTCCCGCCGAGGAGACTGCTCTCATCGAAGACGGACGCCTGTGACAGAAAACAGACGGGCTGGTCAGGGGCCCTTCCCCATCTTCAGGACCCACAAGCCAGGAAAAGGTAAGGGGAGGAAGATTGACCCTTGAGGAGAATAGTCCCAAACAAATCACGGTGGGAGACATGCAGGGAAGGCTTTCAACCACCTTCACAGGCAAAGAGCTGAGCAGAAGAGGGTCGGGCAACATCTAAGAGAGAAACGAGGTTTCTGTCAACCGGCGTGCAGTGTGCTCTCCGGCAGGTCCTTGAAACATATTACTCTGAAGATCATCCCTTGCTAAGCAAGAACTTGGTAAACCAGACTCAAAGGGAGCAGATAATTAAAATATACTGAATTTTGTCATGGCGTCCTCATACTTGATATTTAGAAGATGACATTAATAAAAAGTGACTCTGGAACAAAACACCATGTTCATCATAGTCCAGTA